TTACTTCAGCTACAACAGAATAGTTCATTTCTGGCCAACATAACTTTCATATCACCCTGCTCCTCATGAGTGCTCACCTAGCCAAACTTTAATTTGGTCTATTCTTGATTTTCTCTCTCTAATTCAAAATGAGGTGTTCCCAAACTGGCTGCTTATTTGTGCTGTTTATTCCTGTTTTCAGGGTATGGAACAAGAACAAAAGGGAAAAGGAGACAATAACCATAAGGAACTCAAATTTGTTTTTCCCCAAAGAGGAAGAAAATATTCAGCACTGGTTAGGCCTCATCTAGAACGCTGCATGTAGTTTTGGGCTCCACATTTTAAAAAGGACATGGAGAAGCCAGAGAGGGTTGAGGGGCAGGCAACTAAAATGATAAAGGATTAAGAAGGTAAGCCATACAAGGAGAGGCTGAAGAAAAAAGGCACGTTCAACTTGCAGAAAAGGAATTTAAGAGGCAACATGATGGAAGTCTTCAGATATCTGAAGGGAAGTTGCAGCAAAAGTAGTCTTTATATTGGGTATCAAGAAAAACTTATTCACTGTTAGGACAGTGAGGCAGAGGAATGGACTGCCTAGGGAAGTTGTGGAATATACATCACTAGAGTTGTTCATGAAGAGGTTGGATAAGCATTGGTCAGGGGTGATCTAGCAGTAGCTATGCCTGTGCTCAACTGTGTGGCAACCTTTACTGGGACTAGAAAGGAATTATTTTCCTTTCCTGTTGCCATGTGTCAGATTTATTTTCCCTTTTTGCTTTCCTCAGAAGCCATGGGTGTTGGCTGCAGCCAAGGCTGAGGATTTTGACTGGGCAAAAACCTGGAGGTTCCTGGCTATAGGGTCTTGCTCTTCTGCTCCAGGTCAGACTGATTACAATACCTAGAGTCAGGGAGAAACTTTACTCCATGGTTAAACTGGTACAGATCAGCCTGGAGTGGAGGGGGATGTGCCTTACTCTATAGCTGTGGTATGGGGGCAGCCCTCATCAATGGATATCTTCAGCATATTTTAACAACCTCTGTAACAGCAGGACACCATCTGTCATTGTGTCCCTGCTTCTCTTTGGTAGGTTAAGGTGCTATGCCTTGTGGCTGTGTAACAGGATTGACTCTATGGGCATGCCCTCACATACATGGGCATGCTTTTTGCCTCTGGGCACACCACTGCATGTGGGATCTGGTGCAGGGCAAATTATCCTGGGTGGGGTAGGTGAGGTTGGGGCCAGTACAGGTGTTGGTCCCAGCAGCCTTACCTAGGGTCTCCCAGAGCAGCAGTAGAGATGATCCAGCTGCTTGGAGCCTGGCTGGACCAGAAGGTAGCTCTGGCTGGGCCGGCTCTATTTCTGGGGGGTGCATGCTGCTGTCATGTGCTCTGCCCCCTTTTTTTCCAGCACCTTTTTTGACATTAGGATCTCCCAGTGTCAAATTTTGGCTCCGTGCTCAAATTAGCAGCGTGGTGAATACTTGCACATGTACCACATGCAGCTTGCGGTGCCTCAGACTGCATGTACATACTTATTTGGACATGTCTTATAGTTTTGATAATAGGCTAGACAAGATCTGTATGGGATAGGGAGGATTTTGCTTTGGGCAGCAGGTTGGACTAGATTACCTCCAGAGATCCCTTATAGCCCTAGCTCTATGACTCTATGGGAGTGCCCAGACAAATGCAGATGTTTGTTGCCCCAAGGACAAGTAGCAGCAGCACAAGATATGCTGCTGCTACTTGTCCCTAGGGAATACCTGTGCCATGCATGGTCTGGCATGTGGCAGGTTACCCTGGGTCGGGTAGGGGAAGCCTGGGCCAACAACTGTGCTGGCCTGAGCAGACTTACCTGGGATCCTGGGAGCATCCCAGGGCTGCAGACATGGCAGAATGCCTGGCCCATAGCTGGAGTGTGGCTCCAGCTGGCCAGGCTCTAGTTTTGGGTAGCACATGCTGTCACCACATGTGCCACCCCACTTCTTTTTACTGTAGGTTTTTTTGACCCGGGGATCTCCTGGGGTCAAAGAAACCTCTGCTCTGCAAGGTAGCAACACAGGGAATGCCTGCAGGTCTGCAGTGCCACATACTGTATGTCCACACTCATCTGGATGCAGCTTATGATTCTGCTAGTCACACTGAATGGAAATCTAAGGCTGCTGCTTCTAACAAGAATTTTCTGTGTAAGCAGTTGCTGTAGGAACCTTATGAAACTGGAAGGAAGAAGGTTGGATGATGTACCCGATAGTCTCTTATCCAAGACAGGATCCACCATAGGAAGGAATCTGGCCCTACTGGTCTAGGTATGGTTCTTACAAGGCTTCCTTCATTCCCTTCTAGGTTATGAGGCCACGGCTAAGGAACCGTCACTTTAACATTGGCCTTTTTTCTTTTAGCTAGTTAAGGCCATTTTTAAATTTTTATTTTTTCAAGGAACAGCTGTGCAAGACAATATATGGAACAGAAAAACTCATAAATCAAGCTCCTGCTACTGTCTGCATGCAATGCCGTGTTCAAGTATCCAGTATTCAAGGTGTGGTCACACAAATGCTTGCAGCCATTTCAAAAGAGGAATGTTTCCCACAGGCATCACCTGGTACTTTCTTATTGTTATCTACAAGGAGCTGGCTGCTCAGTGACAGCACTGGTGCCACAACTTCAACTAAGTAACAGCCTGCTTTGAGATAAAGCATCTTACCATTGAAGCAGAGAAGAGAGAGCAGAGGAAGGAAAAAGAAGAGAAATCCTGGCCTACAGCCATGTGGAAAGACCTGCAATAGCTGTGGCTCACCTGAAGTAATCTCAAGACCCATGCTAGAGGTCATCCCCAAATTGAGGGATTGCCAACAACGAATTGTTGTTTGAGCCAAGACAGATTCTAATATGGCAACTTTAACACTCCTCCATCCAGTGTTAAAACTTAGATTTGAATTATTTGCAGACACCGAACAATTAGAATATACCAGCTGTTCGGAGAAATTCTCCAATTTGAAGAGGCTCCAACTATGTGTCCACACCCCTAATTGTATGTAAGGCAGTTTGGCTACATGTAGCCAGGACAGAGTAAACATCCTACAGTAGATTTAAAAACTTCACTGCTGAAGCATTTAAATTTTTACAAAAAAGGTTGCCTAGCTTAAGCATAGGCTGGAAATTAAACAAAGTTATTTGCTTATGCAAATCTGAATTTGGGCCATAAAAGTGGTCATGTTAACTGCTCCAAAGACCTATAGCTGTAGAAGCAAAGGTCCATGTTTGTTACAGCACGTGTCTGGTTACCAGGTTGCTACTATAGAGGAATTTTTGCCCATATTCCAAAACACTTGATATAAACAAACATTGAAAAGACTTGTTGAATATAAAAAAAAATTAGATCTTGTTCTGCAAAACCAAGAGATGGTTACAATGACAGTTTGTGTATGTGTAGTGGAATTGAATAAATCATCATCTATTGAGAATGGAATTAGTCACTAACCCTTCCTCCCCCAAGGCTAAATTCTGCTTACTGCACTGAGGACACATTTACATACCTGTAGTTACACTATTGAAAGCATCAGAAACAGCTCTAATGGATATTCCTATTTAGACTTAAGGGGTCAAGCATTTTTAATGAATGCTAAGAAACAGGGAGGGAATAGATGGATACATAATAGAAAATAAAATATTGGCAACTAGAAGTGAAGTCTAACTACCTTATTCTTCATTTTTACTTGCATCTGGGTTTTATACAGTTGACATTTTAAATGACTACTTTACACTCAACTGCCTTTAGTGACATGCCAAAGCCATTACTGTTCTTCTACTAGTCTCTGCTTTGTTTTTAAAGCAAGTAATAATTACATTGGGATTATTTTGGAGTATGCAATTGGTTTACTGTTTGCTACATTACTGGAACACATGCTTTAAAACACCTCATTTTACTATGCCTTTGTAACTAGCAATTGAATTCCCTATCATTCTATGTGCATTAGTGAAGGCAGTAATAGTTCATGCTTCAGAATGGCAAAACTACTGGAGTACATATTTAAAACTTCAGTTTAAATAGAGTAGTTTGTGCTTAGCCATCATCTTCTCATCTATCTGTTTGCAACTTATGCCATATTAGTGTTCTTTTCCTTCCTTAGTCTGTAACTATCTAATGGATGCAAAAAAGAAAAAAAAGCAGGGAGGGGGAGAGGGAGAGCTGAGTTTTAGAACTTCAAAACTGCTCCTAGCACATATACAGTTTGATACCATGCCCCTTGGCCCTGACACCCTTCCCATCTCCAATTTAAAAGAAGATAGGTCAAAATTCAGTTCCTTCCCTTTTCTTCCCTATTCCCCCAGCCACTACACTTCATATTTGGCAAATATAGAACATTTCTTGGTAAGGAAGACTGGTTTGTTAGTTTTTCCATCAAGAACTTGGTCACTAAATTTCATAATAAGGAAGCAGGGTCTCCCCAGCTTGTTTGTTTGACATGTTGGAGGGTTATTTGAACTAATGGGATACCCCCTCCCCTACCCCCAACAAGGAAGGTGAAAACATGCCCAGGCATGTGCAACAAAAAGGAGTCAGCTGTAAAGTTAAAGTTGTTTTAATGTGTTACAAGTTCCCCAGGAATAATTTAAGCCTCTCTTCACCTGATCTCAAAGGTGGTCATTCATTGTGAATTGTTATTAAAATTGTACCCAATATCCAGAACTGAGAACTTATTTTAAGGAAACAATTAAAGGATCCTGATGTGATACACCTTGAAATTCCAACTCACTTTTGATTTTAATTATAGTATTAATGTCTGGAAAGATGTTAAGACAGGATTTACAGAATTACCCTATCGCTTCACTCATCTAGCTTCTAATTGAAAAAAAGAGTTTGCTTTTTGACAGATCAGGTCATGTGATTAGTTTCAATTTAAACAGTGATAAAGGTTTGATGGCATGCAATCTCAGATCAAGTGAAGCAAGCAAGAAATCAATAAGATGATCTGGTTTGTATTATAAAATAGCATACTAAGGAGAAATGAGTGGAGACTACTGCTTCATTTTTCCACTTTCTTTATTGTCAACAAATTTATATTTAAAATATTAACGTCCAAAAATGTGTGTGTAATAAATACTTCATTTTGGGCTGTAATAAATAAAAAAAAAATATTAACAAGGAATGCACTTTGCCAGCCACAAATGTGGGTAGTTCTTGAAAAAAATAAAAGGAAAAAAAAAAAAGAAAGATTATGGCCGTAGTTCACAGTTAAGCAGCTAAAAGCTGCTTGTTACAGCTGTTCCACAACAGGGAGCTCTCCCTACTTGCCCCTTCCAAAAATGTATTCACAGTTTAAGTCCTCCATCCAAACTGCTCATTATGGAGCCAAAAGTCTCACACTGCTGAGTTTAAGACAAAAAAAATCTTTAAACGTGCATGACACAAAAGCTACAGTCCAAAGAACTCCTTGTCACACCAATTTAGGTCCACCAGTAGGTTCAAGGCCTCTGTCTGGTCCCAGCCCAGCACACCACAAGAATCAAGTTTTCGTACCACCGCTCATCCATCATCAACATACCAATCGCTCCACTGCCTCCACTGTAGATTTCACAGTGAAAAAATGTCCTTTTGGTTTAAGAAAGTCAGTCCCCTTTAGTTGCATCTTTGCAGCAGCATATTCAGTGCATATTCCATTCTGTTTTTTAGTTCCAAAGAACATCCAGACATGAGAAGAGTTGTCAGACGAAACGTCGTTGAAATCCTGTCTTCATTGATGTAGGTAAGGAGGTACTCCTCACTTTGATTGCAGATGATTATTTTTGTGTGGTCATGGTAAAAGTTCACCTGCAGAGAAAAAAAAAAAATACAAAAAACTCCTGATATTGTACTTTTTCCTCTAGCAACATTAAGGCTTAGCATGAAATGGAAAGTCACCAGCTCAGATGTGCAAGCATTTGTTGTTACAGGCACATATATTGAGCTCTGTTCTACAAGAACTCACCTGAAATGTGCCATCATTGAAGAGCATCATTAAGGCTTTGTCAGATTTTAGCCACTGTAAGAGGTAAAGCCTGGGCCTGCGAACATCAGTTAAGCTAGGCAGATCTCCTCCCTAGAAAGAGAGAAAAGGCATCATTGTCAGCTTATGCTTTGTGAAAGTTCCACTGTTTACAATTCAGATGCTGAAGAGCCACAAACTTACATCCATGAGGTTCTCCTCCATGTAATGAGAGAAGTATTTCAGAACAGTTACTTGGCTGATGAATTGTTCAGGAGCATCTGTAGCTGGAAACACAGAGCACTGGCCTAACTCAGCATAGTAATGGACTGTTCTGAAAGACAAAGAAAAACCCACAAATATTAGTCAGATGTAAGCTCAGGGGTAACATTTTTGGTAGCCAGAAAAATAAAGTCTGTTTCTAGTAACAACTGAAGCATTTACTTTTTGTCTGGTAGAAGGCTCATGTGTGCTCCATTGTTGAAAAGAACACCAACAGTGTGATCTGACAGCTGATAGCCAAAGCCATATTTGTTAGAGTAGTCCACCCATTTTGTAACCCATTGGAAGGATGCTGTCAGCTGTTCCTTGGGAATGCCATCTGCTTCTGGCATGTTCTCAAGGCAGCCTCGCAGTACCCTTGCAACTGTATCAGCAACACTTCCCATAGTGCTGTCTTCCAGGCCTGGAAAACACAAACAAAACAGGATTTCAGTATGTAGATGACATCATGCAGTTATCAGTTTGTGCATTTGCAGACAATCTATGCACAAGAAGGATCCTAGCCTTGCCAACCCTGTCAGGTTTAAGCGATTTCCAAAACAAGGAACTCTAACCAACAATTATTTTCAGAACAAAAAGGATATTTGTTTTAAGGTGAAAAAATCACTTATTTGAGCCCTATATCTGTTTTACATCAATTTTGGCAAGAAATTAGTACACTGATGAATTCTGTTCTCTACTCACATTCGCTGCTACTGCTGCAGCTTCCCAGAGTTCCTCTTACTATCATTCGAATGGAGTCTCTGGTCTGTTTGGTTTCTGCAAGCATTCCAGGTTTGGCTACTGTCGTGTTAGGAGGCTGGTTTTCCTAAAATAGGAAACATATGCATTTAAGTATCAACATAAATAAGTCAACATTTTTTCTTGCATAGCTCATATTAGACCTCCCTAGAATGTTCAGCATCAGACAGCCACCATTAAAAAGTAGTAAAGTAGTCTACAATATGTTTTCCTGAACTGGGATGAGGAAACTATCGGCATCGGTTTACTGAGCGTTTAGTAGCATTGTGTTTTCATTCTTTATGAAATTTGCTTGCTCAACCAGGACAAAAAGCCATTTTTATTGAACAAATTTGAGTTGTGAATGGGAACACTAGAGTCTCCAAAGTTTATAATTTTCACAGAATTTATATATTTTATTCTTAAATTAAAACAGTTCGGAAAAAAGTATCTTGCAACATTCCTTAAGTGTGTGTATGATGGTACATAAATGATAATGAAGTCTATTATAATTCTGAGATGCGGAGCAGATATTCTATACTCCTCTAAGGTTACCATACAGAAGAGAGGTAAGATATGTTTAAACTCTCTTACAATACAACTATTAATCATCTGATGTTGGTTATAAGATAAATAATATAATATTTTCTGAGACAGCCATTTACCATCCCGCCCCAATGAACTGAAATAAATTTGAACATACCTCATCTATTCTGTGTTTCAGGGGCTGCTGGGTTATTGACGTCTTTTTCAAATCATGTCTAAGCTTGTAGATTTCTTCATCTTCTTTAGGTAGTTTATCTGTGATTAGAAAACAGCTAAAGTATTTAACAATGCATATAAGTATGCTTTGCAGTGCATTGCATGCTATAAATACCCTAAACCTGAAAACAAGGGTTGAATTTATGTTATACAAAGTTGTTCTCGTCTCCCCTTCCTACAGCATTTTCTCCCCACCTGGAATATACCCAGACTCTCACGAAGTAGACATGCCATTATACCCAATGATCATCAACAGCAGTGGGTGTAGACAGGAACACTAGATTATGAAAGTGCTAAATAAAAACCTGCCACTATGTCATCAAATATCTTCTCATTAAGGCTGTAGGCTGCAGCCTACAGCCTATATCTGCCTACACCTAGGTGATAAACAGGTCAAACTAATCCCTTCATGGACACAGGAAAGCAGTTTCCCATACTTCTTGGGGGATGCAAGGCCTCCATCACTGCTATGACATTTGCTTTCATGTACTGATAAATACAAATGCAGTTACATACTTACTGTGTGTATCGAAGTATCTGGCTTTTTCCTTTTTACCACCAAAAAGAGCAGCAGCTGCTTTTTTGAAGAAATTCTTAGCTGGACTTGACAGATGAAAATCAGGAACAGTGTGACAACAGCTAGCAGAAAGTCTCTCTGGTGTAAAGCCCTGCAGAAATGAAATGTAAAAACCAAGGCTTAGACTGTAGAATACATTTAAGTCAGAGAGAATGCTTTTGAACCAGAAAAACTGTATGATACAAACCTGTACAAAAAAGTCATGTCGAATTATGTCATCTAAGGTAGGTCTGTCTTCAGGATTTTTTGACAACATGCTAGCTATCAAGTGCTTTGCAGGGGCCAGTAGAGATGATGGCAGAGTGTATCTTGCTTCCCTTATACATCTGTAGGTTTCTTTAAGGTTTGTAGTTTCAAATGGGGGTCTTCCCAGTAGCATGGTATACCTATTTAGCCAAGAAGAAAGAAATTCTCTGTACTTCAATAACTGAAGCCACTGGGAAATGGTTAAAGAGGCAGATGCAGGAAGAAGGGGTAACAATGAGTTTCCTAGCTGAGAAGCTACTTTGGAGGTTAGGCAGACTTAAGCAATTGTGAAATTGATCCAGTTACTGCCTCTCCTTTGAGAATTCAATGCCAAACCAAGTTAGGTTATCAAGGTATCATTTCAAAGGATCAAAGCTACTTACATTACACAGCCCAAGGCCCATATGTCAGATTCACAGCCATGCCCTTGTTTGTTAAGGACTTCTGGAGAAAGGTAATTTGGTGTGCCACAGATGGTTCTGAAAGGCAAAGCAATGGAAGAGTTAGTATTTCTCTTCTGGGTTGAAATACAAACATGTATTTTTTAAAAGGCAAATTTATGCTCAATCAAGATTTGGGCAGGAACGTTAGAAGCCCCTGGTAAAAATATTACCAAGTGACTGTAATATTAATATTCAGAGTCTTCCAATATGCAAGGCAGGCCATGCTAAGTTCATATCTGCAACATTAGTCATAAATCCTCCCCTCTAGAGCTCACCAGTTGAGGGGGAAAAAAAACAAGACTATGCAACAGTGCGCTATTACATGAAGGAAAATTCTGACCCATGGATCACGGGTGTTTCTTTTTGCTTATAATTCTCATTTATAAATAGTGTTGAGTTTATGCTAGCCCCTACGTTCTTGGGACTCCTACCTCCTCCTGTGTTCCAGAGGTTCCAGCCTTGCTGCCAAGCCAAAGTCACCCAATTTCAATTCCATAGTTTCATTAATGAAGAAGTTACCTACAATACAATTAAAAGAAGAGCTGGTGAGAATCTTTGTTGCAACATAGGAACGCATTAGCCGCAAGTGCCGAGTCAT